AGTATTGGACCGGGCACTGTCCCGAATGGTCCCGAATGATACCGCACTTGTGTCCCTTTGAACTTCAGTCGTATAATAAATCTCTTATTAACCAAGCTTGCTCAGGACCGTACTGGAAGAATATCGGCCCTCGGTCTTTTTTGTACGGACCTCGCTGCACTCGGTCCGTACTGTCAAGACCTCGGGCCGATATTCTCCCAGAACGGCCCTCGCGCTTGGTTAATAAGATATATGTATTGCTGAATGTTTTTACAAGTGGTGCCGTGTTTTGACGGGCCTACGGGCTAGTCAAAATACAGAAAACGAGTAAAAATACATATAATGGGGGAGCGTTGCGTGACATCCAAAAAAACGGATGCGAGGGAGACTATCTGACTGCCCGAGTCGTGTAATAATCAGCGATACTACACAACAAAGTGTTGATCAAAATATTTATTATCCAATACGGCAAATTGTTATTTCAATGCGGGCGAATTTCGCGGATATTTACTTACTGGGAATGCGTGACAGAAGTATGCGAAGCGGAACGGAATTGGCGCGGATATCTCATTGAATTGTTGTCTAATTGCTTTTCTTCGTTCGAATTATCTCATAAACCTGGATCACTATTCGCCAGCCATTCCGACTCTTCGTTTCAGAGAAAAAATCAAAATTATCCGCCATTTATTTCGTAACTTCAATCCAATTCGTCGCTTGCGAACCTGTCCAACCGGTTCACTGGGGTACAAATACTGCGACGGATATTTGTACTCGTTATGGGCGTTATTTGTACTCTACAGCTGGATAATAACATAGGTTCTTACCTTATCAAAAGATATCCGAGTGGAAGCGGTCAAGTGTTCGATGTAGCTAAAAACAAATTGTCTAAGTTGGGGATTCAGGTTTATTTGTGTCTTTATTTTACTATTTACGTCAGCATACATTACCAACAACAAACAAACTCTTTAACAACATCACTTCAATACATCACCTACGATACATTACATACAATGAGCTGCTTACAATTGATTTCCTATAACTAATTTAAGACTAGTAAAGCATGGAATACTGAGAGTATAGTTAACTCAAGACAGGAAAAAAAACCGGTTTTTTTCACTGAGTGACGAAACTAACGCACGATTGCGTCGATTTCGTTTCACTTCTCTCCTTTATTAGTTTCATAAACTCCATTTATAAACCGAGTCTTTCTGTGACTACTTTCAACCAACTCGAGTTAAAAGTTTCGCTTGTTCTTGTAAACTTTCAAGTTAATTTCCGATGATGAAAAGGCGACGGGGAGGTCAACATAGGAGAGCTGTTGGAAAGGATCCAACCAGCTTAAAAAGCTCGATTCGATTAATCTCACACACGAAAGCGCAGCTATTTCTTTAATTCCTCATTACCTCACGTGTCTGGATAGCATTAATAAGCAGACTTGAAGCTAGTTGGTTGTTCCCAATGAAGTACAGATAGGTCACTTTTTGTAACGAACAATCTGTTAACGTGTTCGGGTTTTAAGTGACCTTTTCTTAACCCTTATCGTGCAGCTCCCGGAATATTCCGGGCGCACGTGTTCGTCCATGTGGACAGGTCCCGGAATATTCCGGGTTTCCGAACATCATCTTTTTATTGGCGGAGAAGTTCGGAATATGTTGGGCTTATATTGGTTTATGGTCATGGGCCAACCCAAGGGACATAAATTAAGCATCCGACAAAGTTCCGAAGACCCGAGTAGAATAAAAGAGTTAATTAGCATGAAATACATTTTGTTGCGCGGTAACACTGAGAAACAAAGATGGCGGCCAATATTGTATTTGTTGATGAAGGAACTATTGATGAAGTTGTCGGCGGAGAGGATAGCGATTTAGATGAAAATACGGATAATTCTGAAAGCAGTGAAGAAGAAGATGACAGAAGAGAAGAAGACAGTGATGGCGAGGCGGACAGCGAAGAAGAAACCGAAGAAGACAACTGGGTCCTTGGCGATCGCATCCCGCGAAGGCTTGACTTCACAGCTGATCGAGGGTTGAATGTGGAGCTTCCTAACAATCCATCATTCTCTGACTACTTTCATCTCCTCTTCCCCGAAAACCTATTCAACGAGATTGCATCCCAAACAAATAAATATGCTACGGAAACAATCGCATCTTTACAGCGAAGAGGTCGTTTACCTCAGCACTCGAGATTTAGAAATTGGCCTGAGGATGGTGTGACAGCTGGTGAGATAAAAGCTTTTCTTGCCATGATCATTGCAATGGGCCTGGTGAATCAAGAGAATATCCAGGATTACTGGTCCATCGACGAGGTTTTATCAACTCCCTTTTTCCCTCAAATTATGTCAAGAGACAAATTTATGAACATTTTAACATTTTTTCACTTGTGTGATAATGATGATTATGTTCCTCGAGGACAGGAAGGGTATGACCCAATAAAAAAGCTTGGCACTATATACAGCGTTGTCACTGGGAAATTTTCAGATGTCTGGAAGCCAGGCAAAAATATTTGCATTGATGAGGGAATGATTCCATTCAGAGGAAAGGTGCATTTCAAAGTGTATAATCCTGACAAGCCAGATAAGTATGGTGTTAAGTCATACCAGTTGTGTGACTCAAGTAATGGATATTGTTGTAGGTTTGAAATTTACACTGGTGTAAACCCAGAACCACCCAGTGCTAAAGGAAAGACATATGACTTAGTCATGAGGCTCATGCAACCTTATTTGAATGAGATTTGTTTTTTGTTAATGTATAATTTTTGTCAAGTTTTTCCAAAAGCATGATTTCATAGCTAAAATTTTAAAAGCAAAATAGGTTAAAAGTTTATTGTAATAGAATAATCAGAAAGGCAATTTCTTAAGCTTTAATTTGATATATAGGTTGTTGGGATTTGATGAAATGTAAAGCTTGCACTGCTGATGAAAGGATCAACTGTCATGTATAAGTGTGTTACTAAAAATAAAGTCAGTTTAGGGGATTGTAACCTGAACTCGAACTCAGCATGATAAGGGTTTAACTCTACAAGAATTAATTATTAAACATTAAACAGACAAGTAAAGACCGTTGACAAAAGAATCTGGCACAGTCACAAAATAACAAACGTTTTGGTTCAATTTTCGAATCCAAAGACTTCCAGTTCATTGACACAAAATTGTTGATTTCCTGTTAGAAACGTGTTTCCATTCTGTCCCGATGGACACTGATATGCGTTGTTGAGGGCAATAGAGCAATTGTTAGAATTTGGTACGCTCTGGATGAGAATATCATGAAAATTGCCTCCTCCAAATATTGGCCCAAAGCCACTATTGCACCAGATAGAATATCCTTCTTGCCCAGCTCTCAAGGACATTTTTGTTGGTAACAGACCACTTGGGTTGACAAGACTGAATAGGAACGAGTTTGGTGATCTTTTATAACCTGAAGAACCTTAAAAATACAAAAGCGATCAGCACACTTTCATAATTAGTGAAATTACGACTGGGTTTATAAAATAAAGATTGAAAAACCAATCTGAGGGGTCGTCCTTTTACAAATTGCTTCGACGAAACAAGCTCAAAAAAAAAAAAAAAAACTAAATGCACTTTGATACAAATGTCTCGAAATTAAACCATTAGAGGATAAATTTTACTCGCAGAAGAAAAAAGGTTGGAAAAATGTATGCCCAGTTTCATGGATAAACGAGGAAAACAAAAAACGGAGAAAGGAATTTTTTCTTTTATTTAAGTTCCGCTTCGGTCCATTCAATTAAGTAATCAGCCAGAATGACCGAAACTTAGACTAAGTTTACACGAGAGGAGATTTTTCCGTATTCATAAATATTACCGAATTCATCAATTTTAGGGTTATCGGATTCATAGGCGTTTACACTAAAATTGTGTATCCGGATTCCCAACCGTTTACACGTGGCAATAAATCCGCAGACATTCTTGCCATTCTAATGACTGAGCGCTTAAAAGGTTGTTTCTTGGCTCGATCGATGACGACTAAATGTTGCCAAAATAAAAGACTAGAGTCGACCAAGATGCAAATTTAAGTTCGATAGGTGACGAAGTTAGTGCAAAGGATAACGAAGGTTTAGAATGGGAGAGTATCAAAAGCAAATACGAAGATATCAGGAAATAATTCGTCACGTTGAATGAACAGCAGGATAGATTGCCCCATGATATTAGCCTGATCATCCGCGGAAGGATATCAAACTCTTAAGATCCCAGGTGGAAAAGTACTCAGACTCGCTTTTCAAATATTTTACACAAATAAGCTTTCCGAATTCAAAAGTTTTCGGATTTGATGTTTCAAGTTTAAATTTCGGATTCAAAATCTCCGGAAACATGATTAAAGAGAGGAAGGTTTACTTCGGATTTGTCTACTTGTGTATAAGAGGCAAACGAACCCGGTACTAAAACCTTCATGATTTGTCAAATTGTAGACCTAGAGATAGAGAGACAGAGACAATTACTTAAAGGTTTTGTTACGATCTTACCATCCCAATTCTGTTCGGAATATCCTCCAAATATGTAATTTCCGCTTTTTATCACTGTAACCGTTGGTCCCTTGTTATCACAGTAGGAGTGAAAGTGGGAGGCATTCCAGCCATCACGAGAAGCTCGGTATAACAATTTTCCTTTGGCATTCATGACTTCTGTTACGTCTTTCAACCAGTTTATCAAAGTCTGGCGTTGATCGGACGACAGGATCACTGTACCCTGGAAGGGTTTCGGTGTCAGCGCATCGATGATTCCTTCCACTTGATAAAATTTAGCCTCGATCAGCAGCTCATGACGAACAGTCTTATCATCAGGGACGACAAGCTCCCCCGTGCGAAGATAATTCAGGATGTAGCGGAAGTGTGTTCCATCTCGATCAATGAAGAAGGTTCCATCCTCGTCAGGTTTTGTGTCAAATCTTCCGGAAAACATGGCGTGTAACATGGAACCTGGATAAATAGAAACCACATATTACATTAAAAGTGATTCACTTCGAAATAAGTCCGAGGTATAAAGAATGCCTTATCCAGAAATCTTCTTTTATTCTTTGATGTTCAAATAACGTGGTAGAGGTTTGATTTTCCATGAGGGATCCCTTAAAAGAAAAAGTTCATAGGTCTTAAAGGGATCCATTTCATGGACTGTGCATCTGGCATCGTGCTAGGTATAAATAGATTGTGCTCGGCAACTTTGAGCGACTTTTAGCGTTTTCAGATACTTTTTGTATTGCGAGCAACTTTTGCCTTCCTTGGCAACTTTTGAGTCGACAAATAGTTAAAGGCTAACCAAACCATAAAAAAGGTCTTTATCGAAAGGTTTTTCTATTAAAACTGGTCAAAACTAAGGATGTCGTACGTTCTTACAAATAATTTATAAAATAACACGTGCACCCACAAACTGAACAACAGCTATCTATCTAACGGGCGCTTAAATCCAGCGGTTATTAGCTCCAACAATAGAGCTTCCAGTGCGTGCGAGCGAGGCATCACAATTAGAAGCTGAAATGTCTGACTAGGAAAATGAAAATAATACAGATATTGACCCTATTGAGGTTACCATAGCCGCTGAGGCAACTCTTAATAGTCCTACAAGAGCTTCAATTTCAATTTCAATTATCTTGTCCACGAAGGCAAATACAAACAACGAGAAGCGGTAGCTTGACCTCGTCCTCAGGGAAAGAAAACACAACATGCGCTTGGGATCGCGTGAAAGACAATTCAAAACGTCAACAGAAAATACTTTCTATAATGAGTTACGTTGAGATTATGTTGATCACAACAAATGAGGTTAAAATACACATACAACGTCATGTTTTGAGTGGTAATCTAAAGCAACTTTAGAGCAACTTTTGGATGTATTGTCGAGCAACTTTTGCTGAATTTTCTAACAGAATCTATTCATGCCTAAACGACATCATGGTCAACCTCGCCTAGTAATTTTCCATTGTCATTATATCGTGGAAATTTATATGGGAATCTTCAAGGTACTTCAGTCATGCAAAATAAAGGAGAAAAATGGAAAAGTCCCTCTAAAACCATAACGGGATTCAACAATAAGGAAAATTAAAACTGAAGACTTTAAGAACGCAAATCTTATTTCATTAAGAATGTTAAACTAATTTACCGTTTTGATTTGAGCTCAATAAAAAAAATGGTGTGCGCCTTTGAAACATTGTAACAGACTACTTTACGTGGTTACTTTTAATTCCTATATGATAACTTCGATCTGACACCCTGAAAGCACGCCACCCAACAGCTTCAAACTTCGCACATGTGCAGACTTTGACCACTGAGTCTATTCATACAAAACTTCTACTGTTATCTTCTAGGAAATTGTAAAGACAATAATAGAAAATGTAGCGGATGGACGAGATATTGCAGCTACCACAAATACGTGAGAGCAAACTGCAAGAAGACCTGCAATATATGTTAATCAATAAAAAAAAGGTAACTATTTACCATTTTAAAATTAAGTCCAATAGCCTTCGAACAAGCAAGCTCCCTTACAAACTCATGAACATGATAATTTTATGACGAACAAATTATTTTTCCAAAACAGCGAGTGGTAAGCTTGGNATATTCAGTGCGGGCGAATTTCGCGGATATTTATTTACGGGGAGTGCGTGACAGAAGTATGCGAAGCGGAACGGAATTGGCGCGTTGTTGTGTTGCTGTTTCTATTTTCTTCATTAAATGAAGAAATTTTCTGGTCATCAAGCTGTTTTTCTTCGTTCGATTCATCAAATGAACTTTGATCTTTATTTGCCAGCCATCCTGACTCTTCGTCGTCGGAAATATGACTCAAATTGTCCGCCACTTTTTTTCGTAACTTCAATCTAATTCTTCGCTTGCGCGATGCGAGAAAACCTGTCCTCTGTCCTTGTTCCCTGGAGTACAAATACCGCGTGATGTTTGTATTCGTCTATGGCGTTATTTGTACTCTACAGAGCGTAGTTAGAATATAATTTCTTTTATTAGTAACGTTGAGGTTATATTGATCACAACAAATGATGTTAAACTACACATACGTCATGTTTTGAGTTGTAGTAATCTAGAACAAAATGACTCTCAAAAGTAAGTTACCTTTTTAAATCTGAGTGGCAACTTTGAAATTTTTGAGCAACTTTAGAGCAACTTTTGGGTGTATTGTCAAGCAACTTGTGCGGGATATACTTTCACAATCTATTCATGCCTACATCGCGCCCACAACACCCTACAAGCTCGCAGTCCGTCACCCGTTTTGCAATCTGTATGAATCTCTGCCATCCTTCACCATCCTCGTTGGGCTTCGGTTCTCTCCTACCTATTGGCTATATTACTGCCCTACAGGCTTATATTTCATAGATTTGATCTACCACGAGTGACTCGAATTGAAATATTGCGACGCCAGTACAATATTAGAGAGCTTAAGCACCAGACGTTCTTGAGGTCACGAACGCCTACCGGAAGTCATTAGAGGACCTATGCACATACTGCGCATGTCATGACGTTCGTGTGGTCACGTCGCAGACGCCAGAACGCCACTTTTCAGGTTGAAGGTAGAACGCAACAAAAATATGCTGTAATTTTGTTTATAGGAGATAAATTATTGACTCAAAACCATAAAAAGCTCCTCTGCTTTTCATTAAGTGATTAAAACACGTTTTTGTAGCGCGTAAAGTGGTTTTTGCTTAATTGATAGATTAAACGGGATTCGACAATGGCAGACAATTTTCTCGCCAAGTCTGAGTGAGTTAAGTCATTTGATTTCATG